AGAGCCGCACACGGAAACGCCGTTTACCTTCCCGCTAGTAAGCGGTCCCTATTTATCTACTTGCACCCGGGGGTGCTTTTGAACTGCTAGGTTGGCAGGCGCTGGGACCGAGCGACGGGAGCGCACCCCACCGCGGGGATTCGAACCACCGACCTTTCGATCGGCAAGCCCTAGGCGCTGAGGCTTTTACCCACAGCGCCACCCGCGTCTCCATCTTTGGTAATAGTTGTGCATTATTACACCAAAAGGGGGAAAAGGCATGGCCCCCCCTTCAGATCTAATGTAAAGATTTTGGAAGGCACTGCCATCTTGGCTTGGACATTTAAGATTACCGGTACCTGTGTATGGGTGTTACCCCCTCTTACAAATAGACTCCTGGCTGTCATGGTTCTCTAGCCATATTTTGTCTGCTGCATGTAGAAATACCAAGAATGCAGCTTTCCCCAGCATTAAGCCTTCATCTAGGAAAACACTGAACATACTGGATTAGGTACCCCACCACAGCTGCCAAAGTCCCAAGAGACATGACAGGGAAAAACTAAGACACAATAAATAGGTGGAGAATTTTCTTGAATAGTGCTTTCTTTTATACTCTGTGGGTAGTTCCAAGGAATGCAATCAAGTATAAAAACGGTGTCCTTGGTATATTAAGATTCTTGCTGATACTGGAATCTACTGAAGTGTCTGTCTTCTATTTTATGATGCTGTCAGACCAGATTTCCTTGACTGAATAGCAGTCTTGTTTTACATGGCTGCTTATTTGCTACTGACTCTGATATAAAATTGCACAACAAAGAACATGCTATGCTCTCTGCAGCACTATCATTTGTTTGTGGATATGCCTTCTCTGAAAAGTCACAAGCCCACTGTGAAAAAAGAAAAGAAAAAGAAACTCCTGTGAACCTGAAAGAATGATGTAATAGCTGAAGTTAATTTGCACAGCAAACATCATTTTCATTATGGGCGTTGCCCTTTATCCAATAAATTTATTACCATTTGTGGGGATATGTGAAACAGCCCAAGTTAAGCATGTTTACAATACAGTTTGGTGACCCACATCTATTTGAAAGTATATGCTACTGAGTTCAGTGGCACTTAATCCTAGGTTAATGTGTATAGGATTGCAGCTTTAGATATGAGCTTCCCATTTCCATGCCTAAATTTGGGTGGATCATGCCTAAAAATATATATTTTTGTGAAAAGTAGAAAATCCTAAGAATTTTTAAAGTATTACACAGTAATAGGGGAAGTTTAAATTAAGTGTTTGAATCAGATTGTGTTGTGACATTTTTAGTGTGATCTTTTTATTGTGATGTCCAGTATGTATTTCAGGTGTTTTTTTTAATCTGGTGAGTTCAAGACCTGCCCTGATCTCCTGGATCCAAAGCAAGAAACATTCATTGCTTAAGCTTGCTTTGTCAGGTGATCTACCAGTGAAGAAACTTTGGTGGATAAACAGCAAACTACAAAGTGATATAGCCCTTCACAACTTGGTAGTTGTTGTTCTGCCATCTTAAGGGTGCAATGGGAAAAAAATAGTACAGGCATATTTTTTTTTCCATTTTAACAAAATTTATATAGTGCTTGTCTGTAAGAAAACTCAAAGCAGTTTACAAAAAATATAATCACTTTGAATGTTTTTTAATGCTGCCGTTTGCAACTCTAACACTGTTAGGTACTCCTAAATTCTGAATGGTTGCTTTTTGAATGCAATTTCAGTATTTTAATAAGACTGTGATAAAAAAAATCTGCCTCCTCTTCCCTTTATTGCACCATCAAAACCAATTACGTATATATTGAGGTTAACTGTCCTGAAAAAACCACAGTCCAAAATATCAAATACTAACCTCAGTTACGAAATTCAGTAGCCGGATTAGTCAGTTTAATGTGTGTGTTTGTAACCCTGAGAGTGAACAACCTGCCTTACCTTGTACTTATGTCCTTATCTGTAAATTACTGCTTCCTTACCATACAGGAGTGTTAAGAGATAAACACTTTCCCCTTTTATTCTAAAAGCAGCTTTAGAACAGTCTTTTTTAGAAGAAAGCTGTGTACACAGAATATAGCACTTTGGATAAAGGTGGATGGCTCTATGGAGCTTCCAAAAATTTATGTATAGGGCTGGTTTGTAAAGACTTGTACACTACAACTGAATTCTATTAACTTCAGCAGAGTCAGATTTCACCATGAAAGAACAAAGATATTCATACAACTAAATATGCAAGAGCAGGCCATGGGCATGAGCTAAACTGTAGCAGGAAAACTACAGAATAGATCGCATATGTTCATCTGCAGTGTTTTCACTGGTCAATTTTTTATCAAAAGGACAGGCTAATTCCCTACATATACATGAGCCACATTGAAAACAACTAGGATGCGGAAAGTGAAGTGTCATCAGCCTCTGAAAGATCAACTATTTAGCTACCATCGTATTGCGTAATAGGCACCTTTTAAACCTTATTGTATAGATTAAACCACTATGTGGTGTGAAATATCAGTAAAAGGTACCCCTGCCCGTACGGGCCAGTCTTGCCAGACTCTAGGGTTGTGCGCTCATCTCACTCTATAGGCCGGGAGCCAGCGCTGTCCGCAGACACTTCCGGGTCACGTGGCCAGCGTGACAAGCTGCATCTGGCGAGCCAGCGCAGCACACGGAACGCCGTTTACCTTCCCACTGGTAAGCGGTCCCTATTTATCTACTTGCACCCGGGGGTGCTTTCGAACTGCTAGGCTGGCAGGCGCTGGGATCGAACGACGGGAGCGCACCCCGCCGCGGGGATTCGAACCGCCGACCATGCGATCGGCAAGTCCTAGGCACTGAGGTTTGACCCACAGCGCCACCCGCGTCCCTTTGAAATATCAGACAACCTTCCAAAATCAAAACATTAACCTGAAATTTTTGCTTTTTTAAATCTGATCTTTTAACATGAAATAAGGCGCCTGATCCCAAGCAGCAGAGTTTGGCATACTTAAGAACTTGGACTGCGAACCCATGTGAGAACAGTAAGCATAACAGATTTCAATGGGCATACTGTACTTCTGAGTAAGCGTAGGCACAGGCTGCGCTGATGCCATTTGAAATTCAGCAGGAAAGGACCTACTCTGTGGTGGTGCCCTGACTGCAGAATGCTCTCGTCAGATGTTCCTTCCATGTCCAACGCTACCCTCCACTACCCAAAGTGTGAGTGATGAGGCAGTGAGAGGGCTAAGGCAGCTGTCTGCAACTCTGCCTTCTCCATGAGCTGGTCCAGAAAGTGTGACAAAGATATGGAAATAGGAGCAGCATTGCCATCTCTTATTTGCATGGCTCCCATTCCAACCTAGCATAAGGTTACCAGATATCCCCGTTTCCCGGGGACAGTCCCCGGATTTACAGATCAGTCCCCATACAAAATCCATTGAAGTTGAAAAGTGTCCCCGGATTCATTGGAAAAAAAAAAATCTAGTAACTTTAACCTAGCAGAGCCTAGGGGAGGTGGTACAGTCTTTTTTTAATATACAGTGGTACCTCGGGTTACATACGCTTCAGGTGACAGACTCAGCTAACCCAGAGATAGTACCTAGGGTTAAGAACTTTGCTTCAGGATGAGAACAGAAATCGTGCAGCAGCGGCACGGCAGCAGCGGGAGGCCCCATTAGCTAAAGTGGTGCTTCAGGTTAAGAACAGTTTCAGGTTAAGAACAGACCTCCGGAATGAATTAAGTACGTAACCAGAGATACCACTGTATACCAGTGGTCTCTTCCCAGCAACTTCCCAGCCTCAGTTCAAGGTCTTAAGAAGTAATGATGCCCCTCTGTTTTGTTTTAGCTAAGGACGGGGGTGGCAGTGGTGGCAGGTTGCTCTGAACACACATCAAGGGGGAGCTCAGTGCCGCGCATGGTATGCTCAATGGGGATCGGGGGGGTGTGCACCTGGGGCAACAGCCCCCCTGGTACCCTCCATGCTAAGCCACTGGGGCGATGTGGAGGGCTGGCTAGCCCACGAGGCACCTGTTAGAGAGCTCTTGTGAGATCTCGCTGTCACTGCTTCGCCTTGCTTCTCCAGTGATGTGGGAGGGGGCATCCACAGTTTTCTGGCACCACTGTGGGTGCCTCCTGCCACCGGAGAAGCTGCCTTTGACAGGACCGGTGGTCTGGAAACTAAGCCTTATGAGGAGCGCTTGAAGGAGCTGGGTATGTTTAGCCTGGAAAAGTGGAGACTGAGAGAAGATATGTAAGCTGTCTTCAAGTATCTTAAGGACTGTCACATGGAAGAGAGAAGAAGCTTGTTTTCTCCTGCTCTGGAGGGCAGGACTCGAACCAATGGCTTCGAGTTGGAAGAACGGAGATTCCGACTAAACATTCAGAAAAACTTTCTGACAGTAAGAGCTGTTCAGCAGTGGAACACCCACGAGAGTTGATGGGCTCGCATTCCTTGGAGGTTTTTAAGCAGAAGTTGGATGACCACCTGTCATAGATGCTTCAGCTGAGATTCCTGTATTGCAGGGGGTTGGACTAGATGACCCTTCCAACTCTTAAGACTCTTTTGCCTCAGGTGGCGGAATGTGTTGGGCCCCCCCTGACCAGAACCAAAAACCAGAAGTATTGTTTTGGGTGACATTCCTCTGTTCTCCTATTTCCTTCCTCTTCTTCCTGTACCTATTTCTCTTAACCCTTTTCCTTCTTCTATTCCTTTTCCCCCGCCATCCCCTTGCTCAATCCTTTCCCCCCTCCAAATTTTTTGCTCCCAGAGCTGAACTCCCAAGTGTTCCTGCCTGGGCAGAAAGCCCGCCTACCTACCTACCTGCCGACTCCTTCTGCAGGGCGCTTCCCTCACCTGAACTCCAGCCGGCGACGTGGTCACATGGGCCCGGCCGAGAAGGCGGGCGGGTGCGTTGCATTTAGGAGCGGCAAGTCTCCGAGCCGCCCTCTCGCCATTGGCCCCTGCCCGGGCACGTGGCGCTCCCCTCCCGCCTCTGGCTCACAGCTGGGTGGCCTCGCCGCCGCCGCGCTGCTCCTGGCGGCGAAGCAAAGCAGCCGGAGAGCCGCTCCAGTGAAGAGCCTGACGGGGCAGCAGGAGCCGGAGAGTTTGTGTTGCCCGCGCGCCGTCGTTCCCCGCGAGGAGCCCGAGTGCGCGGCAGCGGGGCGCCTCGCCTGTAGCTTCGCCCGGCAGCTCCCAGCCAGCGCGGGAGCCCTTTCGCGTTCCCACCCCGCGCTTAGAAAAAGCCAAGCCGGGGAAGAAGGCGGCTTGAAGGACCGGGCGGCGGCGGGAAGGTAGGTCCCAGTCAGTGCAGGGGGCTGCAACCTCCAGCTGCCTTCTCCTTCTCTTTCTCCTTCTCCTCAGGCGCAGCAGGGGCCGCCCTGCCTTGGCCGCCTGCCGCAGTAGTTCTTCCGAGCGTCCCTCGCGCTTTTCCCGCGCCGAAGTTGTGGGTCGCTTCGGAAGAACGGCGGCGGAGAGGAGCTGGCCGCCGGGGAGAGGCGCCGTGCCCCTTCCCGCCGCTTCTCCCTTCGCCTTCTGGAGCCCGAAGAGGAGGAGGAGGAGAAAGAGGAGGTGGCGCTGCCGGGAAGGAGCGCCTTGCGCCCGGCTCTGGTGGTGCTGGAGGAGGCTCGCCCCGTCCAGCCTCCTCTCTTTGCGCCATGAGGCGAGAGAGAGAGAGACTTGCTTGGGATGGTTCGGCTTTATACAGCTGGAAGCGTGCTTTGCGGGTGGGGTGCGTGCGCCTAAAATGGTCCCGCTGGCGCGATTTCGTGGGCGAGGTTTGGATCAGGATCGAGACACGCATTCCAGAGCTTTTCAGGCTGTAGTAGTTGTTGGGTGTGTGTATCTGCTGTCAGAAAAAGAAAGGAAAAGTTCGGCGGGCTGGCCGAGTTTCCCACCGACTTCTAGGGAAAGGGTTTCGCTTCCTGGTGCGTAAAACGTGTGTGTGTGTGTGGGGGGGGAGGGTTGTGGAAGGGCGGGAGGGAACTCGAACCCGGGAGATCGGGGCTGGCCCGGCTCCATTTTCCTGGGGCCAAATCGGCGAGGCTTTCGTCTGGAATCCGGCCACTCTCTTCATTCCTGGCCGGAGGGGGTGTGCCGCTGGAGCCAAAGGTGTACAGAGCAGGCTTCTTAACCCTTTCCTAACCCTTGCTCAATTAAGCAGAAAGTTGCTGGGGTTGGGGAGCTTGCCCGTGGGAGCGTTACTCAACTCTTGGAAGAAGTTGCATTTCGTTTTAGTCGACTTCCCCCGCATGTGTTTTGTCCCTCCACAGTCGAATGCATTAGTCAGATGCTGGACTTGCAGCTTAGAAGACAGTTGGGAATTGGTCCAAGAAATTCTTATGCAGTCTAGAAATGGATGCTCTCCCCCAGTGCTTAGATTAGTCGATGTTTTGCTCCTTGCTTTCAAGCCAAAGATACTGAGGACGTTTGTAAGCAATCAAGTAGATACGCTGGGGTCTAAATATACAGATCGCCTGATGCTGGTCATCTTAAATCCCACAGAGTTCATCTTGTGTTTAGGATTGTAGCTCTGTAGGATATATTGACTGAAGCTGATAATGTTACCACACTTAATATTTTTTCATTGCATGGGCTTTGAATAACACAGCTACAAATCCAGCATGGATACAGTATTTTTTAAGAGCTAAAGAGTATGCTTAAAGTGGAGCAAAAGTTAGCCTTAGCTAAACATACATTTAATTAAAACATACACAAACCTTCATTTATCTCTCACCCTCTTCCATTAAAAACAAAATTTTCTTCATGTGTATCTCTCTGACTTCTTATACCATCCGTTTATTTTTGAGACCCAAGCAAGTTGCTGTCATTTTTTTTTAGCTCAAATAGCAGCAAAACCAATGTACCTTTGCCATTCAAGCAAATACTTAAGACTCTCATCGGAGTTCTAGTTGGTGACAAAAATGATTCCGGCATGTATTCTGAAATACTGTTCTGCTTCATTGTGAAGAATGGGCCTCTAGTGCACCATCCTGATTTTCTTCAATAAGGCATAGAAGCATTTCTTACAGTAGTCACCTTTTAGGTACTTGTAAGTAGGAAGAGTAGCATTAAGAATAGAAGTATAAGAACTATGTTGGACCTTCAGAACACCCAGAAGCTTTCATTTGCATGGTCTCTTCCATTTTCCTATATTGTCTTCTGTTTTGTGCTGCTTTAGAGGTTTAAAACTGTCTTGCAACTCTAACCTCCTTTTATTCCCTTTTTGTGATATAATTGCCCCCCTGACAGAAACACAGCTATGAAACTATTTTCTAAAAGGAAGGTGACCTTTCCCCTTCTCTTTCGTTCATTGGCTGTTTGGAGTGAAAGGGAAGTGTTTTGAAGAGCTGGGAAGTTGTATCTTGGAGTTCAAAGGAGATCCACTAAAAGCTCAGGAAAAAACCCCTTTTCAATTAACTGAATTGTTGACATAATTGGAGCTTAGCCTAAACTGAGCAAAACTTTTGGCAGGGAAGCATTATTTATATTAGCTGGCTGCACCTCTCACAACATGTGGACTTAAATACAAAAAGGAAATTATTGGATTGGGAATTCCTTTTATTTTCACTTTGTACTGTGGCATGGCACATTAATTTCAGCAAGAGAAGTTATTAAGGAACAAGATCTCATTGTGCGAAGTTGATATTTTCTACGTAAGCTATTTTTCTGTTAATGCAGAAGATTGGTAGAACATGATTTTTGGCTTCCCAGATTTTCAGAAACTCTTGGTTTGTGTGATGAGGGCAATACACATTGGTGTGACTGAGGTGCATATTTTTAGTTTGTGCATTTTCTTCTCCACTTACCCATCTTGGTGTTCTTTGATTAACCAATATACTCTGAACTTTGGGGTGTGTTGTTTGTTTGAAATATCATTGTGGATAATGGCAATTAAAATGCAATAAAACTTGCATCATAACCCCCTGTTGGTTTTGTGGCTTCTGTCGCCTTTCACCTCTGCTCCTCTCAGCCCAGGCTTCATTGCAGTGCATCTTTTGTTGCTGTTTTAAAAAATACACACACAGACTCACCCAATTTTTAATGGCTTTATTTGTTAGTTGTCCTAGCTTTCTAAAGCATAGCTAACTAGTCTCCTGTGTTTCCAGCCATATTGCCTAGATATTGCTGTATTCACCCTGTCTACTGAACCAAAGGAGTAGGATTATGACAGGTTGCTAGAAGTGCTTGAAGTTTTTGCTAAATGTAGCTGAGAAGCAGCCTATCTATAGGGCAGGCATAGGCAAACTCGGCCCTCCAGATGTTTGGGACTACAGTTCCCATCATCCCTGACCACTGGTCCTGTTAGCTAGGGATCATGGGAGTTGTAGTCCCAAAACATCTGGAGGGCTGAGTTTGCCTATGCCTGCTATAGGGTCATATCTTATTGTAGGTTCTTGTTAAGATGCTAATGGGCCATTAAAATTTTATTTTAACTTACAAATGATGCTTCTGTGTCACTAAGGCATCCAGGTATGCAGAAACCACTGCTTTGTTTCTGGCTGGGCCTGTTTCACTTCCAAAGTGCTAGACTTGGGACCACCCACTATGATACTTGGCATTTGCTTTTGGGTGTTTAAAGTGTTTCACGTATGTCATCTTTGTGCAATCCTTATGGCAACCCTGTAACATATGCCAGTGTTATCCCCATATTGCAGGTGGAGAGCACTGAATCTAAGAGAGTCCTAAGGCCACTTACTCACTGAGTTTTAGCTTCGCTGCCACTACCCAAAAATCGTAACCTTATTTATAAGTCACACGTTTCAAGTAGCTTTCTTTGTGCTCTTGATTAGATAAATGACTGCAATTCATGTACGCTGTAGCCTTTGGGATCAGTTAGTATCTTAGCACTACTCACAAATGTCACCTACTGCCTCCTGAATAAAAGAAGTAAAAAAGTAGATTAAGTTAGCTCAAATACAGTTGACAGTAAAGTGTCATGTTCCAAATAAATCTCTAGGCCCATGGAAAGTAAACAGAAAAAGGCACAAATGTTTGCACATTAAGCAAACCTACTATACCAGTTACAATATGAAACAGGATCAGGCATATATATCTTCCTGTGATGCCATAGTCTCTAGCATGATTTATACTCCAGTAGGGTGGATGCCCTTGTGATTTCCTGTCCTCTGAAGTTTGCGAGGAATGTTAATTAGCTTTAATTTCTTTGGGAATGTCTCATGCAGTGCAGTCTCTGAATCCTCACCAGTCTAACTATTGATATAACAAAAGCACATTGACTGCAAATGCTCAACTTGAGGGGCTTGCTTCCTCACTATAATGTACTGAGCAAACATCCTTGTTTGAGCAGCGTGATTTTAGTGTGACATTCTCCAGTGTTCACGTATATTTCTGGCCAGCAATAGGCTTGTGTTTTTGAATTGTGCAAGAGTTGAAGGTCCAAGAGCATTGATTACCCCTTTCTCTGAGCTGAGACACAGGCAAGGCATTCTCTGTATTCTGTTCCAGCATGACAGCAACAGAAGGAAAGCTTGGCATGCTCCCTTTAACAGTCACCTTGCCTCTCATTCTGAAACACAGACAAAAGGCTGGTAGAAAGTGTCTGATGCCTAAAGTAAGGTCAGCGTCCTTGAGAGCAGCAGCTGTGTTAGGAGCTGGATAGATAACTGGTGGTCCAGAGTCTCCCTATATTTAAACCAAATGATTGGTTGCTAGAACTTTTTGTTATGTCACTGGATTGTATGGGTCTTACATGATGACACTAAGAGCTAATGAGGCCTTTTGGTTTGCAAGAGAGACTTCAATGTGAACAGTTAAGAAGGTCAAAAGTATAATGAATATGTTTTAAATTAAAATTTTGCATAGATTTTCACCAGGCTTCCACCTGGTATACCAAATAGCTTTCTCCCCCATTTCCTCATCACTTTGTCTTCTGTTGCACCACTTGATTTCTGCAGTCATTCGCACACCCATGCCAAATCTGCCCCCCTTCTTCCAATCTTGCCATTACTGAAATGTTTTTGGAGCCAAATGTTTTTATAGTCCTACATAATACTAGCTGGAGGCAAATGTTTTCCATTTTTCTTACTGATTCTGTGTATGCTAACTGACCAATTTTCTGTTACATCGGATGTGATGATGACCTTAACTCACCATCCTCAATACCTATAGCCCCTTCAGGTTAAAATGAAGAGCACAAATCACAGTACACGAAGGTACAATTTCTCCAGTGTAACTTACGCAGTCAGTCAACAGTCACATTTGTTTTCAGAAGGGGAAACATCCCCCCAAATGAGGAGATTGGTAAAAAGGACGTTGAAAGGCAAAATCAAGA